AAATCGATTTCTAAACTTGTTACAACTCTGACCATCAATATGACTGTCCAGTTGCTGGACAGAAGTTCATGTCAGAGCTACCAACGAGCATTATGTGGATTCTGTATATAATAGACTCGGTGATTTTAAACTTCTTATTCAGCATTTAAAGACTTGAAATGGAAACGCAGTATTATTAAACCATTGAGTAAAATTAAACCGAAGAATAAGAATTTTTGTAAGAATAAAACATCGAGGTAATTGAATCTAGTTTGTGTTACACAGTATGAAATGAATGTTTATGTAAGCCCCAACTCACTAACTTACTGTTAAATCTATAACAAAGTCTATCGTAAATTTGAAATAAAAGTAAAACTTTTTCTTTTCAAAAAAGAAAATTTCCTAAAAAAAAATATGAGAGGGCTACAAATAGTTGCAAGTGGTTTCTTGTTATCTCTCATCAGTATTGTACTCATACACCCCAGGTGCTATCTAATAAAGCATCATTACCAGTATTTGAAAAGTTTCTGAATATTTTCACATGTACAATCTATTCACAAGTTTCTTGGCACTTGAAGTATATTGTTTTTCAAAAATATAATACACATGTTCACGGTATTTTTTGTTTGTAATTTTACTATTGTATGTTCCCCATTGTGGCTTGTCACAAGTGAAAGTTTTGGGTTTTTGTGATACAACTAATTTTCACCCAGTTTGCTGTGATGGTGTTATCTTTGAAGAATATTCGGGTTTAAGACTGTGCTAGCATGATTACTCTGAATGTGTGCTGCTAGGAAGTGTTAATTTATTCAGTAATTGGCACAAACTGCACTGCTTTATTCAGTAATTGACACAAACTGCACTGCTATATACAGTAATTGGCACAAACTGCACTGCTTTATTCAGTAATTGACACAAACTGCACTGCTATATACAGTAATTGGCACAAACTGCACTGCTATATACATCAAAGGTTTGCAAAATTTTATGACTGTTTATGAACGGTCATACACAAGTCAGTTGTTTAACATGTGTGAATAACTTAGGTAGTTAAAACGTCAGTTAGAAGACACCTTTTTATGTTAATCACATGTTCATATTTATGGATTATGTTGATAATACACTAAACAAATATTCACTGTAAATGTTCTAAAGTAGATATGTGTTTGTGATAAGGTTCAGAGTGGCGAATGTTTAACAACAGTGTAAATTCCATATGTAAGTTCACATGACTAACATTTTCCGTAACAGTATACTACTTCTGAAGAAAATGTGATTTGTACACACACACACACACTGTCAATCTAGTGATTTCTGAATGCTTGCACGAAACTGAGTATTTCTAAATGAGCAGTTAGAAAATGAGTTAAGACAAAAAAAGTCCATGTTTCTGGTCATAGTGATTGGATAAGAGTGGTGCAGTTATGTGGCTATATTATTTTTTTATGAATGAAAATCTTTCTTAGGTATGAAGTGAGGAAATGTCTCATTGTATTAATATACCTTTAACAAATTACGATAATCAAATATCCAATGGAGAAAAACAATTCTCTAACTCGTATTTATCTAGTTGCAGGTTTCCTCTTTTATCATCAAATTAGTACTGGTTGCAAAAATAGTTTTTGAAAAATATTCGGCTACATGAGCAATGTCTAATATATGGCGTGATAATAACATAAAACTAGAAAACAAGACATTATTTTCAACCATAAATAATATTTAGCTTGTTTAATTACGCTAGTGTTTCAAAAGGATCACTCATTTTTGTATTCTTTGATAGATTATTTAGACAAGAGTGTTCATGATGAAATTTAGTTGAATGGATTGCAACTACCTGTTGTAGAAACACAATATTATAAAGACCGACAACACACTGACCTGAATACGAAAGGTGGACAATGTTGTCCTCTATACTTGTGTCTTTACAACATACAGTTGTGTGCATTATAATAGTTTTATGCTCTTTGTTGTTCTTTAAGTTTTTCTGATGTGGCAGAAACAAAACTAGCTAAAACTAAATGAAAGTCTTGGAGGGACTCTAGCTATTCCTAAAATCAGCATAAAATACTTGTTTGTGCTTTTTGACACAATTAGCCATCCTACATAAAAATGAAAAGTCGACAAAGATCACATGTCAGGCTCTTAACGGTTAACGTGAATAAATGGTTGAACATATAGACACGTTTTTTTCGCTTCAAATCAGTATATTATTGAAGGTTGTGTGTGCTTTCAATATTTCTAGAATCATTATTCGACATAGATTTAATTGAACAATTCTGCCATAAAATTGGTAAGTGGTTAGCTGTGTTTAACATTTCTTTCTGTTCTGATACTGAATCTTTATTATGGACATGCTATCCTGCCAGAAACTATGGACAGCACTTAAAGCCAATCAAATATGGGCCTACCTACCAAACTTTCTTGGACAGGGTTGGGCAAGGGCAAACAAAAACATTTTTTAAGTGTGGCCTGATTTGATTATTTTCTTTCACCTTTACAGATTTGTTTTTGTAATTCGTTTGAAAACCAATTTGGTTCCACCTTGTTGGATTTTACGGCAACACTTGAAACCATTAAAAATAATCGTGTTAGAAAATTTATTGTTCAATAACCTCGGTACAGTTATTTAACCCAAATTGCTATTATTATTTTGTACCTTGCATGAGAACTTCGTAATAGTGGTGGAAAAAAAAACAACAACAAACATTTTAGCCCGTACAATTGAAGTTGTAAAATTAGTTTCTTACATCTATATGATTTTCTCATCCTTTTAGTTTAAATTTAAGTGTAGTTCATATGTTAAATGTATGAACTTGATTATAGGAAACATGAACAGTAGAAAATAGTGAAGATTGTACAATGCACTCTTATTAATAAAATGATGTTATTTTTTTCCTGTGAAGGTCAATGTAGAATAATTAGGTCTAGGTTGATTCATATAGTAGAAAATTGTTTATATAATTTTATTCCAGAGATTTCAATTAATAATTTCTGTTACATTAAATATACAACATTAAAATGTAAAGAAATTACCTCTGATTAGTTTAAAGATAGACTATTATCTTTAGTTTTATTTTATCGGGTTTAGTTTTTGTAAGTAAAAAAAATTAAGATTATTTTTATTAGGTCATGAAAAGTAAACTAGTTTTTCTCATATAGAGGTGTAATCTGCAGGACAGTTTTCAGTGTGAGTTAAGTGTGTTTGTCAATGTAGAATAAAGAGTTATACAGCAACATGATAAAAAAAAGAAGCTTATTACCAGGGAACTCTTTTTATAATCTTGCTCACTGTGGTTGGTGTCAGTTTTTCTGGCTTGTTGTATGGCAGGACGTGGTATGGAGAAAGGGCTATTATTACCAATATAGAACAAGCAGTAGTGTATAATTTTAGTTATAAGTATAAGTATAGTAATTTAATTCAATCATCTATCTTCAAAACCAATAATGGGAGTGGATTGTTCACACACACACATACATATCATCAATTATAAACCAATTTACTGAGGTCCAAGTTGCACAACCTTGAATAAGTTTAGCTTCTTTTAAAAATCTATTAACTGCCTGTTATTAAGAAATTACTCGTAGTATTACTGGTGCCCGTTTACCTTGAATTGCTATTATACATTTTCAACCTAAAATCTATAAATCCTGGTAATTTATTTGTTTCTTGCACAGGTTCCCTTGTCAAAAGAAACTCATTCCATGTAGACTTTGAGGCATTAAATATTTTCTTGGGTGTTTTCATTTATTCTAGCACTACTTGTCTGGTAAGATGTTTTTTTTGACAGTGGGTGTTATGTCTTCTGTGGAAACTTGATGCTACTCGTGTAAAAAGCTGAAGAATTACCTACCTTTTTTGTCTAACGATTCTTTTGTTTCTCATTTAACGTGTGTATTATGGATGATTCATTCTAATCGATACCAAGGTGGCTTCAGTTGACAGGCTTACTTAACTTTCAGGCTTTTTTCACTTTTAATTTAAAGTATGATTAGCTTTAAACTTCCATGATTTACATCTTTATCCATGGCTAGATTCACTTAGCTTTGAACTTGTGGGTTGTATTATATCAATCGTATGACTGAAATTAATTTTATCTTTCATGTGATGAAACTTGTGGGTCTTGATTGTTTATTTTATTACTAGACTTTGGTATATATATATATATATTGTTTTTCACATTAATTTGGTTACTCATTATACTAAACTTTCACAAAAAGCTTTACATAACAAGTTACATAAACTGACCACCATAGCACTTGCTGGACTGTAGAGAGTTGGAAAATTCCAAATTTTAGTACAACTTAATGTTCTGTTTTATAATATATATCCTTGTTGATGTAGTTTTTCAGGTGTTATTCAACATCAAAACTGTTTCAATTGGATTCTAGATTAAAGTCAAGGCAGAGGTTGTTGTACCTCTGATTTGTTATGTCTTCTTTTAAATAAAATATGAAAATTTACAAATGGGAGAAAGTGGTTGAGGTTACTTCAATAATGCTGCTTCGATTGAGTAGCTAAAACACTACTTTTTATGACTTTTCATCTCTTACAAGAGAGACGTGACCATCTCTTATTTGTAAGAGATGAAATATCATATATAACTACTTGAAGCTGCAATGTTTAAGTATATTTTAGCTATGGGTACATTTAAGAAATTAAGTGGTTGTTGAATCAAATATCAAAGAACAAATGTTTGATCATTTTTGTGTGCTGTATAAAAAGAAATTGTACCCGTGATTATTATCTTTAAATCTTCATGGAATTGGAAATTTTTTTACAAAAATAGGGTATTGTTACTAGTGCACTTGATAATGCATGTGCATATTTTTCATGTATTTCTTATATTGAGCACACATCAGAATATTACCCCTGCATTTGAATTTTGTAGTTATAAAAACATATTATTTGTGCCTGAACATTTAGTTTCATTATTATAGGTATACTACATCATATCCCCCACCCCCCATGAATTTATACAATAATTCACAAAATGAAAATTTGAATAACTTTTTCCTTACAGAGAATGGATATAGGAGAATGCAGAAAAATTCATGATCTTGCCCTCCGAGCTGACTTCGTGGCTGCTTCAAAGAGAAAAGAATACTATTATGATGTTGATGTAAGTCCTGTCTCTCATGTTGATACATATTAAGACTGAGAATGTTTTTTGAAACTCGATTGTATAAAATATTTAAAAAGTTAGTTTAAAAACAGTTTTGTTTTACAGTTGTGAAAAAAAGTACTATTGAAAACATCTTAAATAAATGTTTTCGAAAAATATAGTTATTTAAGTATGAATAGGTATGATCTTAGAAGGTCATTGTTAAATATTCGTTAGCATGGATCACAACAATATCATCGATATATTTCTAAGGGTCTTTTAGAAACAACCAATTTTTTTTTTTTTATCATTGGGTTTACTATATTTTCACAAAACCGTTAAAAAGTTACTATAAAATAATATTCAAAACTTTTTATTCTGTTGAGGTATTCCTGTTTAGAATAATAATGACACACAGGTAAACTAACTCTGCCCAAATAGGAGTTTGGTGATTTGGCTGAATGCGATGTTAATATGAGAACAATTGGAAAAGAGAAGATATGGAAACCTGATGAATGTAACTAAGTTTATTTATTTTACTTTTATATTTGTCTTCCAGGTTGAAAAAAAACTAAATTGATGTGAAATAAATTTCAAAACTGAAATTATAATATGGCTATACATGATCAGCACATGCTCCAGTAGACCTCAACAAAAGAAACAAGAACTTTACAGTATATATATATATCCTGGACTTTTCAAAGCATAAGTTGTTCTCCATGAAAGTGCCAAAATTGCTCTCACGATCCACATTCTCTCTGTCGATGACCGGTAACAAATAGGATTGCATAAAGTAGGATACAGTACAACTGTCCCATAGAGCAGTAGATAACTACTTTAATCGGACCATGCTGCAGAAAGTTACACCTCAAACGAAATTTAGCACAACCTTGACCAGATTTAGCATGTTACTAATTAGAATTCAGAATAATTTCAAAATTTTATATATAACAAAAGAGTGAGATCTGTAGTATTTGATTACTACAGTGATACTATCAGTAATATTAGAAACGAAATACACATTATGGTCATTTGTAATATTTGTGTGTTTACTTTTCAAATTTTTATTATACTCTTTCACAGGCAATGGAACAGCTCCAGACTTTTGTGAATGAATGTGATCGACGGACGGAACAGGCTAAACGCCGTCTTGCAGAAACTCAAGAACAATTGAGTGCAGAAGTGACAGCGAAGGTAGATAATTTATCATGTACCTTAAACTACGAGTAACAGCCTTCTGGTGTGAAAAAAAATACAAAAATTATCTTGGTGTATGTGACCTTTTACTGGTTGACTTTTATTCACAAGTAAAGAATAAAACATACAATCATATGTATCTCATAAAAATATAATTAAGATAGGAGGTCAAATTAGACTTTCTGATTAAAAGGAAAGTCAGTCTGTTTATTAAGTAATCTCTAAGCCATTTTAAGTCTGTGAGATATGCTTTTACTATCTATTCAGACCACTTTTTTGTGATTATCACTAGATCAAGATAGAATTAGATATTGATTGAAGCATTATAACATTGCCTATAAACCATGAGGCTTAGGAAATAAAAAGGGATTAAAACTAATAATTTGATTGGTTTTAAAAAAAGAGGAAGCAATTTATAAATTTTACTACTAATAATTATGTTAGACCTAGGTTATGTAACAAGTAACTCAGTCTTGATGTTATAAGTGTTACTGAATGTTTATGAACATATACAGGAAGTTTGTAAGTTGTACGTTAAATGTAGCATTTCTCTGCTTGTAAAATATGACTTCCAATCAACACTAATTTATTGGTGTAATAGAACTTTGGAGTAAACAACAATAAAAATATTTCACCGACTTGTGATCTTTTGCGATGTTTGGTTATATTTAGTGAACAAATATCATATGAGATATAGTCTTAGAGTTAAAGAGCATTCGGATATGAACCTAGATTTCATTCCGTGTTATCTCACTGACTGTCATAATGTGTTGCAAATTGCACGTCTGATATTTATTACATCTTTAATAAGAATTTATTTATTCCACTGTTCTCACTAAACTAACATATCTAGACATGATAGTTCACCGATTATTTGACAGTTTTACAAAAAAAAGCCCAGGATGAAATTTGTTCTGTTAGTTAGATAAAAGAGAGAGAGTTACCCTGTGTTATTACTAAGGTCTTGGGCATGTGGTTAGTTTGTTTTAATTTTAAATATACTTACACCAGTCGTAACGCAAGTTCAGTGGCTGTGTTTATGGCATTAATGCTACATGTGTGTTTATATAGTAGAATTGTTACAGGAGGGATACTGTCAAACATGGTAGAAATTTCAATTCTTCCTGATGCTGTTATTAGCTCAGTGCTGTATTCGAAACACAAAATTGAAATTACATTTCAAAATGTAGAATTACTAAGGGATTTGTAAGTGTAACAGTCAGTAGGCCTGGTCTATGGTTCAAAATGCCGTAATCCGACTATCAATAGTTATTTACTAATGGGATTTGTAAGTGTAACAGTCAGTAGGCCTGGTCTATGGTTTTTATGGTTTAAAATACCATAATCCAACTATCAATTGTTATTTACTAATGGGATTTGTAAGTGTAACAGTCAATAGGCCTGGTCTATGGTTCAAAATGCCGTAATCCGACTATCAATAGTTATTTACTAATGGGATTTGTAAGTGTAACAGTCAATAGGCCTGGTCTATGGTTCAAAATGCCGTAATCCGACTATCAATTGTTATTTACTAATGGGATTTGTAAGTGTAACAGTCAATAGGCCTGGTCTATGGTTCAAAATGCCGTAATCCGACTATCAATTGTTATTTACTAATAGGATTTGTAAGTGTA